GGGGGGAGGAGGGGGAAGGGGTCGTACCTATACACCATTTCGCACATCACGATGCTATACCCTGGTTCTTCTTCTGTCCCAGCGCACTGAAATAGCGAAAGAGTGGGACGTGGAGAAGGGAGCGCCCATCGGTTGGTTGAGGAATGGAAAGTTTCCGGTAAGGCGGCAGCAGTAAATTGTGGTGGTTAGTTGATTGGCTAGTGTGTCTCGTAGAGAGCGATGTGACGCCCGAAGATGACGACGACCTGTTTCTGTACCAGAACTGGAATCGCCGTGATGGCATTCGCTACACGATTTGTCTTGCCCCTCCTAATCAAAACCCATTTCTCTTGGTTGCTCTTGCCAATGACAAGGTGTCCTTGCCAACTCCGTCAATGATTTGACTACACTGCGTACAGTTCTCTTCACCTTCCGCTAAACGCACCGAGGCGATACAAGACTGAGGGATGAGAGGTTGTTGCGCGCGACACTCATCCCTTCGGGGTTAAGCGCTTCTCAGTCAACATCCAGCACTGAGCACTTGCGGCGCTGTGTAAAACATACGCGTTCCTCGTCCTCTTGGCCATCATCACGCCGTGACCTGCACTGTTCATTTGTCTTTTCTTTCGACCTCACGAAACACTTTCGCAGACTCCTTGCTGATTAGATCGACACTCTGTTCGTGCCCTGCACCATCGCCGCCGGTCGGCTGCCGATGATCTGCGTGCGTGGTATGTTCCTCGATATCTACGAATGTTCAGATGGCTTCGTAGACGTCAGTCGAAGGTCGTTGTCGGTGATAGTCATCGGGGCGCGGTGCGGGCCTACTCCGATTCATCGCCACCTTATCCGCGTCCCCATCTCGTATCTCTCGCCTCCATGTAGACCATTACCCCCCTGTGCCCCAACTTCAACATACTCCTAATTCCTTTCTTCACACTTATCCTTCTTTGATTTCCATTTGCCCCCTTCCTAGGTTTGACCCCCTCATAGGACGTGCTTGCTGTCTGGCCTCACTCTGAGTGCTAGCCTGCTGCTGTTGTTTACCTCTTTTCACCTCTTTAATTCATTTGCATTGAGTCTTCGATGCGGTAACTGCTACCACGTGCCAGCCTAACATTCATTGACCGATCGATCGATTGATTTAATGAACGTCTGAAAGAGAGCGGCTTGGGGTGTTTTCCTCGAGCGCCCTGAGCGTCAGTTGTTGCTGCTGTTGCTGCTCAAGCTCGAGCTCGTACAAATTCCAACACTTTGAACTCATAGCATCTCATTACTTAAGTCTCTCAATCACTTGTCGCTTTAGTACTCATAAACATCATCCCTCATCTCCTATAAAATCCTTTTCACATTCCTTCAATTACTTTTTTTCCCTCTTCAAACCCGATTAGAACCCGAGGTCAGGTTTCAGTTTGCAAGCATTTACCAATTTATTCACTATTTGTTGTTTAGACCTTTAGCATTATGATCACACAATTTTGTGTTTACAGTATTAGTTGTTTAACCTTTCAGCTACTAAACTCGAGTTTTCTGTGCGATTTTACTTCGTCACCACACCGAGGTGGCGGAGTTGGTAACCTACTCCTTAACACTTTCTATAGATAATAATTAATTTTATGGCATTGAATGTTGTCACGACAAGCTGCACAGACGAATTCTACATGATGTAGCGCAGATACGAGCGCCTGTCGTGAGTAATCTACTTCAATACGGGGATCATTGTGAGATCGAATTATCTGATTCGTTGTCGCAATGGTCTCTTGTCCAAGACGGGCTGTGATCAGTGGGAAGTGCCCACTGGTATTCCGCTCAGACACCCGAAACTGTGTCTATACTTGGTGAATCGCTGGCTCGAAATTCGCCAACTATAAACACAGCGACAGACGACGACGGTGCATTGAAATTTGTATGCCAGGCTAACGTTAACCGTTTTTTGTTGTTGTGTTCCTCGCGTCGCTAAAAGGTGTGGTTGGTTGTGCTAACGTGGTCAGCTTTTCTTGCAGAGTGTTGGCGGATCAAGAACTTCGTTCACTCCACCATCATCGACGGACGGCTTTACTCTTGCCGCTCAAGCAGCAGCATCAGCAGCAGCCATGACCGCCGATTCCGCTGCCCTACTGAAACACCATCAGCACCACGCTAATGGTACACAATATCGCTTCACTTACTTACTGTGATCATCTACTATCATTTAATATCATTTTTTCTTACCTTCACCACATGCACACCACTCACTAATTGCTTGTAGTAGTATGTTGACGGTGAAGTATGCAGTACTGTTGTAGTACCGTTATGAGGGGATCCCTGTTGTGCATCATGATACGCTTCTAACACAAATGCAAAACGCCAAACTCGCTGCTGTAACCGATGATGTGTCTGTGGAGGCTTGCTGTGATGTAGCAAGCTGCATGCTCTCGCTCTCTCTCTCTCTATTTTCGTTTTCTCAAGATCGTTCGATCATCACTCATGCTCGTTAATCGACAGCTTCGAGTGAGCGATGATCGTTCAGGGAATTGGCACTCTCATAACTCAATCTCACCTCAGTCAGAGCACAGTTGGTCAGTATACTCCAAATCCCTGAGATGCGGTAGGCGTGACTGCTTTCTTCAACTAAAAGTAGCAGTGGCTGCGCTATTGGAGGGTTATTTTCATCTGCAACAGTTCTAATCATGTCTCTGTCCAACAAAGAACAAGAAGACAGTTGTCTCGAAAAATATCCCACCAGTAACCCATTTTGTGCCATGTTCACGCCCACTCCGCCTTAGGGATAAGTGGATTACTAACTGCAAAGAACTTGAACTAATTAGACATTCTTGCCCGTGAAAGCGTTCATGGCTGCATTGACCTTGATTGTCACAGCATTGACAATCTCGCGCGTAGAAGCGATAATTGATGGGATTCCTTCGCAGATTTCTCATTCTGATGGTTACTGAACGGGTAGTTCCGGGCTGAAAGGATCAATCGAATGGCCTAGCGCATGTGGTGGTGGCTCGATGAGCAGTGTAAAGTTTTCGTATTGACGAGAGGGAATGGATGTGGGGTCTTGTGAGTGACGAATCGTAAAAACTACCGAACTACCAGAGACGTCCTTCGACCTTGCGGCGGCTATCTGTCTAATAGAGGGAACAGGCGCGTCTTAGACGTGGAGCAGACAGTCACAGAGAGGGCAGGCCGGTGTAATAGCGAATGCTGTAGCCGGTTGGGGTCACGTTTTCAGTCTGCCTGACCCCTTTCCATGACTGAACACCTCCATTCCACTCTTCTGATACCCTCAACCGTAGGTAATCCCTTACTCTTCACGAATAAATTGTCATCACTATAAATGGCATCTTCATCGCTTGAACCAAATCATCGCTTTAGGTTCTAATGTCGCCACAAACCAGCAATACTCTGTTGAATATTTGTCACAACTGCTCAAAGATAAGAAGCAGCTCTCCGCCTTCCCAAATGTGTTTCATCATCTTGAACGACTTGCCGATGAAGGTATGAATTTGTTCTTTGCGCTTGATCAAATCTACGTCCTTGATTTTGTGGACAAAAGAAGCCATAAGCTGTCATCGTTGTGTAATGGAGTGCTTTAAAGATGGTGTCCTTTTAGAGATCAGCAAGGTACGTGTGGCGCTGTTCCAGTTCGAATTCACAAAAGAAGAGATGAGCCTTCCAGAACCTGAAGGAGAGGTCCAAACAACCATAGAAAAAGTTTTCGTTCCCGCGAAGGAACATCCAGATGTAGGTGACAGGTCCCCTCGTTGCGGCGACATCAATCTAAACTCTAAGAAGAGGCTATTAGATATGTGTATGTGGTGTGTTATCGAATTCAATTCCAGTACAATTTCGTCGGCCGGATATTAGGACCGCGAGGAATGACAGCAAAACAGCTGGAACAGGAGACCGGATGTAAGATCATGGTACGAGGGAGAGGGTCTATGCGAGACAAAAAGAAGGTAAGCATTCATCAGGGCACATCGTTGGTTGGGGATTTTGGTCGAGTCCGTACGACCTCCCCTCCTTTTTTGGGGGTGGGGTTTTACGACGCCGTTCCTCTCCGGCCTCTGTCGCCTCGCTCAATCGAGCTGTTCGATGGAGCCGTCGACCGGGGGGGGGGCTAAATAGCACATGTGAAACAGGAAAAGCCGCGAGAAAAATACGACCCCACCCTTTCTATCAATTCTCAGATTTTCCCCAACTTCCTGCCACTTCCGGAAATTTTCTACCCCGAAAATTTTGCTGTCGAGCGGAAGGGAGGGGGTATACAGTACACACGAATTAGGGAAAATCACGAAAAGTCAACCACTTCTCTCAGAAGGCCAGAAAGTAATTAGATAGAATGAACCTTCCCGCCTCACTACGAGCAAATACGACCTCCCTCCCCCCCCCTTTACAACGTCCGTGAAGCGAGAAAAATCAACTATCAAAATAAATTTTTCTCAGCCCAAATACGACCCCCCCTGTTGGGGATTCCCCAACAACGATGTGCCCTGGCCTTCATTCAATATTAGTGACCAGAATACTAAAGAACAGCTTTCAGGAGGAACTCAATCGGGGGAAGCCGAATTGGGAACACCTTTCTGAAGAGTTGCATGTGCTAATTCAATGTGAGGACACTCCTAATCGAGCACGAGTCAAAGTGGCGCGAGCTGTCGATGAAGTCAAAAAACTACTCATTCCAGCGGTACGCACTATTTTTCCATATTGGCGGAACGCTTTAGAACGTGTCGGAAAGTTTTTCGCGTTGCGGCACCTTTTTGATGGTGATGACCTGCTGGCTTCCATTGCAGCCGCGAGAGAATCCAACTCAGACCAAACAGCTGTACCCCTATACAAACAGACCGAGCGGATATCTTCGGCAGGATGTGCGCTGAATGCATTCCTTATCCTGTGAACAATTGTTCTTCATTTGTTGGAGCAAAACAGAAAGTCTTTGGAAATAGGCACTGCTGTTGCTATAAGAGCCCATTTTGCGCTAGCCGTACTTATGAGGAAGAAGCAGAAAACTGACAATTAGCATGCGACTTGACCGTAAGCACCGACGGGACTTAGCAGCTCGGTAGACTCCTAGCCGTACACGTAATAGACTAACAGAAAACAGAGAGATGGGCTACCACGGAAGAAGAGCTCCAAGTTCCCTGGAATTTGGACTTGAGATCCAATTGTACGGTATGATGTAGCATCCTGGTAGTGGAATGGTATCCAGGATCCTCACGAGTGAGCTTTGAGTGATCAAAGGTAACTGGAAATGTACAGGTGATGTAAAGGCAGGGTGAAGGAATGGCCGAAGGGACGCGATGGCGGCATGGCCAGTCTCTAGACTGTCTGTTTACTCGGGTCTTTATTCAAAGCTCCAATAGGTCCCTCAATTCTCAGTATGCCCCTTATGCCCACTAGCTTACGCTG